GAATGTGTCTTTCGGCGATTTGGCGCGAGCGAGGTGATCCGACACGACAGGGATCCGGGCTTCATGTCTGACTTCTTTAAGTCGTTCAACAGGATCTTGGGACAACGACAACGAGCCACTATGGCATATAGGCCTCAAGCCAATGGATCTGCAGAACGAATGGTCCAGACAGCTACCAGGGCTCTTAAGATGTACGTGGAAGATCTGGATCAACGAGATTGGGATGAGTATGCCGAGCGACTCACCTTTGCGATCAACACCGCAAGGGATCGGATCCGAGGCGAAACACCTTTTTATATGATACATGGCTGGGATCCCAGATCTACCCTGGAAGCTGTGATCCCTGTGGGGAGTACGCGCAAGCACGAGGAGGTGGCGATACCGAATACAAAAATATTATCAGCAGGCGAGGGAACAGGTGAACCAGCGTCTACGGGAAGCGATCGCGGATCGCGCCGATATGCATAATGATCTGACAAGACCGCACCCTATAGAGTCAGAATCAAGGGTCTGGCTATACTTGGATCGGGTGCGTGAAGGGTACGCAAAAAAGCTGGCGCACTTATGGCATGGCCCTTTCCGCGTGGCCGAGAAGATCGGGGAGCATGCTGTGAGGTTGGAGATAGCAGGATCTGCATACAGCATTTTGGTACATGTATCGAAGATCAAACTGGTCAAAGTATTCCCAGATCGGCCAGTAATTCGGCTGAACGGATCAGAAAGAGATCGAGTAGACTTCGATGAAGCCCTCCTACCGGAAGATAGCTGGATCCAAGATCGGGAGCCAGACGAGTATGAAGTGGAACGAATCTCTGACGTGAGAACTGGCAAGAGGACGAGATATGGCCGGATCTACAGAGAATTCCTGGTATATTGGCGAGGATATGAAGATCCGACTTGGATAGACGAAGTAGATCTCAACTGTGGCGCTCTTCTGCATGAATTCTTACGAGATCGTGCTTGTCGCAACCGTTTCGGGGTGATGCAATCTCACGAAGAACCGTGAGGTTGGGATCCACTCTGGTGAGCTGGTCGCCAGTGTGGTGAAATGTCGATGGATATGCAAGGGGGCTGCAGATCGGAGGACAGAGGCTATGTGAACT